TTGGTCAGGGGAGGGGTTCCAGTAAATGTCGAAAGGTGAGAAGAGAAAATAAACAAGGTCTTTCGGAGAACCAAAAATCTAGAATAAAACAAACTAGAATAAAATAAAATAGCGACGTCTCTGGTGCCTTCTCGACAAAAGAGAACCAACCGATGGGTGAATCCTGTCTGTGGCGGGCTTTTTTTTTCATGCCCAAATTGGGCTTTGGGTACCAATACTGCCGATATATCTCACAATCTGAATAAGCGAAGACCTGCGACTGGTCGTTCTCTACAACACTAAGGTATACACAGAGGGGATAACCCGGTCAGCGAGGGGAATATTAAAACAAAAGGGATTCCTCCTCTGCTATGGTTCGTGATGATCTATCTCTGTGGCTCTACAATTGAGACCGGCATGCCTGTTGCATGCACACAGTAGAATTTTGATATTTTCAAACGAGCAAAAAGCAACTTGATTATTGGGAGTCATCGACAACGCATCGGGTTACCGTGTATCTAGTGTAGGCAGGCAATTAGGTAGAGCAGCGCCATGTCCCGGTTCATGGCTCCATCTAGGCAGTCTCAGACGCTGGCCTGTTATTTGTTCGCTTGATCAACCTTCTAACTTAGCGAGGCATCTGCCTGCCTACATGTTGCAGGCAGAAGAAGGAAGACAGACAGACGGAGGACAGCACAAACCATCGATGCCCAGAGAGGCAGACAGTGCTCACATCAAGTACCTCCTCACTTAATGACTTACACGGTATTCCCATACTTGACCCTCCTACTACACGAAACCCACACGAAACCCACACGCTACCAAGACGCATCAAGACAATGCATAATTACCTAAAACATATCTAGGTAAAGGCAGGTTTCTGTCGTGCGTAGGTCGCTCAAGGCCCACTCGCACCGTCCTGCCATCCCGAGCGTAGGTACTACGAACTTACAAAGTGCAAGCAAGAGAGTCCTCATTTGGCTTTAGCCAACACTTGTCTACACCCGCAATGGGGGCCGATCTAGGGTCGGATGGCACAATATCCACATATAGTGTGGTGTAGTAGTACTGTAGCCCCTCGATGAAAGGGATCATGCGCTTTCACGAAACAAGGTCACGCGCGGCTCCTCTGCACCCATAGCGTATGCCTCCTCGACCGTCGTAAAACTCGCTGCCCTCTGCCCCTACAACATCCTTATACCGCGACTGTAGTGTACACTACGAAGTAGACAAGATCGTATAACCTAGGTGCCAGGTAGGGAGGACGTGGCATGGCGGGCGGCAGAGCGGTCTGCGGACCCCGGCTGCCACTGGACGCTTGTCCGAATACAGGCCATTTCGGCCCCCGTTGGCAGTAGGCGCGGTGTATGTGTAGTGGGATGCTGCTCGGCTGGATTGACACCGGCGACGATGAACGAACCGCAAATTGAATACTAAAATTGCCATGGGGGCTGCGCTGTGGTCGTCAATTTCCCATCCTTAGGTGGTTTGTGGTTTGAACCCCAGAAGACAAGATGATTGGTAGTCGTCTCGATACCCACAATATTTCTATATGCGTCGCCTATCGTGAGATTCCCAAGGAATCCATGGAACGAGATGGTGTATGTGAAGAAGACGAGATCATTACCCACATATTGCAGTACCCGGTCAAGCTACTGCAAAGTCCAATGCACATACTAGAGTGTTGTCCTCTTCAGAGACCAGACTATCGTCAGGATATCTCAAGATTTGCTTGCCCGTGCAAATTGGTTGGCTCACCCTGGAGGCATTTAGCATACCACTAGACACGAGAATGTGTGGCTGTGGCTACCTCGACCATTACGCCTACATGGTGTATGCATCAGTTCTGCATGCAATTCTACATCCTGCACTCCATGCCAAAAGAAAGCAATAGACTAGTTGCTTAGAGTTAGTGGACAGGCGAGTTGCAACTGTCATGAAGACGCTTCCGTGACGCACGGTATGTGAGAGAGGATGCTTCAGTCTTGCGTGCATGAAGTCAAACTTGATCTCGCCTGCGATGGTTTACCAGTGAATAGTATTCTGGTACAGATTTCACTTGAATACGTGTCGATCTGAGGTTGACCGTAATCAGCTTTGTTGGAGGTGCGATGGTGGGACGTACGTCCTATGATATTTATCTCCTCTCAAGACACCTCGGAACTCGTTTGATTCTCCAGGTCAGGTGCTAACTAGGTGGCTTTGGAGAACGTATCTGCAGCAAAATTCTAGAATCGTGTAAGATGAATCGCGTTAATATTAGAAGGACAGGTACTTGACCTCCGTATGGCTAACTTGTCATATATGATATAGCCACCTCCAGCGTTAAACGCTAAGCACCATCGTCGACCTCACCCCTGCTAACAGCAGAGCAAAGGATGAACCAATGACTCGCCTAGAATACCCGTATCGCCGGCTTGTCATCAATTCCAATGCAGGACATTGATGCCTCCAAGTGAGCCACGAAATTTGGAGGCGACGCCAGAGGCATACCTGTCTCCTTCACTGAGATGTTCAAAACAAAACAAACTGGTAGGTATTGATATCACGAAGACAGCCACAATTCGTGGTGGAGCTGCTTGGCGGTGCGGCATGCGTGGAGAAAGATGGCTGGTATGTCAAATACCTCGCTCTATTAGAGTGCCTCACCGCTCTTTCCACCGGAGGGACTTCTTCACTGCGTCATTGTGTCCCAGTCGTTAGGATATCGATAGCAAGCTGCCCCCCCACGATGCTAGTGACCTAAGTGGCTTTCGGTAAAGTTCGTCTTGGAGTTTGTGGGAATACATACCGGCAACCCTGCGTCAAATGTCGAAGTGACGTGGTTGTTCTCTCTTCGCTCGGAAGAACATGGGCCCCCCTGGCTTCACTGACGAGCCTATGCCCAGGTTGTCGTGGCGGATTGACAGATTCCCAAGCCGGTTCAGGCCGAGATAGCATGCTCGCTTCAGCCTTCATCCCTGACGTGAGACTGCGACACGGAACAGACTAGACTCCATGAATGGCCCAGATGTGTGAGTGCTGTCGCCGTTGTTGCGATCGTACCAGCAATATGCCACAAACTGAATCACTTCCGTATCAAGCCTGATGTAGCTTGCTCTGGCGTCTTTCTCATCATCAGATGACATTCATAGTAACTAATCGTCTTGTCCGATACAAGTGCGATGGTTCCGATTGGGCGAATAGTATGCCACGTGCGGGAATAATTTCGATGGCCACATCTTGAGCGCGGAAGGGGAGTGAATGCAGTCTGTAAGGTAGACATCAATCCATCATATTCTGTCTTCCGACATAAGCCACATTACAGGTCAATGAAATGATGCAGTGCTGTAGGCAGTCCGAACACCAAGCACACCAGCTGCAAAATCCGACAAACCCGGCCAATCACTCACCCTAGAGTACCTCGGGAGGCCGGAAACCATGGGGCGCGATGCCCAAAGCCAGTCCTTCTCGTTGTGGCTCGAAAGATATTTAGAGCAAGAACTGCATGATCCATTCCTCTGTCATGTTTCGTTCAATCACAGTCCCGTCGAGACAGAGTTCGCTGGGTCCCCGTCTTCATGGGAGAGGAGCTAGCAAACATAGCATACTCGGATGCAGGCTGGCGATAGGCGCTCGATTACTCTGAGCACATGAGGGCCTGTCAAGAATGTTAGAGGAAAGACTGAAGCAACGTTGGGCATGAGATTCAGAGTAGGCGAACCTGAATTCTAAACTTATTAAAGCAGCACTGGTTCTCGGCTGGCCGACATTGTCGATCGTCGCTTAAACGAAGATGACTCCACGAGAACAATGGAATCCATGCGGGTTATATGATGCACGACCACCTGGCTAGGATTGAGTTCTCAAGCCGTTCTTGGAATACTCCATCACTGTTCCTGGTCTTGGTTGAACCGTCAGATCAACTGATGCTATCTCTTGATCCCTTTGAGTGCCTGCCCGTAGACGAGGACTGGCAATCATCTCTTCATTGATCCCTGCTCCATCTGCCCAGATGGTCAGGTCCCGGTTGAGTGGATCTCAGCACCCAAGATTCGGCCATGTGCAAAGTGCTGTTTTACTAGCACGGCAGGATCCGCTGGCGGTTCCGAAACCCGGTCGAACCTGGCCCGTCGACGGCAGAGCAGATTCGATCATGCAAGGGAACCTAGACTAGGGAAGTTGACAGGTCAGGAGTTTCGGGGATAAGGAAACATTTGCTCCGGAAAAGAAATATGACAATATGACCACGCTGGCCACTTGATCGGATTAGGATCGACGACCGCGACAAGCCAAATGACAATGGGGAGCATGTTTACTTACTTCTGGTAGCCATCGAAATAGTAGGTGTAGGTAGCAATAGTTTGGATTATGAAACGCTACTTCGTATAGCTCACGTGGTTGCAGCCTTCACGTGACAGCTTCTTGCTGGATTTGCTCAGCAAAAGTTTAAAGTCGTCGGCATTTGCTAGCCCTAGCTGTAAGGGTGCAAGGAACGATGCTTATAGGGAGGATACCTGCGCTTACAAGTTACAGCCTCGAGATAGTGCTGTAAATATTTATAAGTAGATAGTGCTTATGAAACCGGTTTTTATTCGCACATTAATTACACTTAATTTGATACATTATTTTGAATCTATGTATGTGTAGGTAAGCTCAAGCTCAGGAAAAAGCGAGCTCGATCTGTTCTAAGCATATCACCCGGTAGGTAACAGCATCCCCACTACAAAGTTAAGTAGTCTGGGAGCTTCTCTTCCCCTGGCGAGTAGGTAGTCAGTTTCATCAAAGTCTGAAGGCATCTCGGGGTCTGGCGGTCCCCAGCTAGTGTGCGCTGACCAAGGCATAAATAACATCTTCAAACATTATTTCAAAAATCAGCAAAAACTCCTTTTTTTTTCAACTAATAGTTCAAGTACATGGGAGGTTCATGCATATCCAGCTAACCTAACTTAAGATACAGCTTACTTTTACGTAAGGTAAGCAAAAGTTCTAAGAGAAAAAGAAGGATACTTGAGGACTATGCACAAAAAAATGAAGAGCAACTCCGAATCGGGGAATCGAACCCCGGGCTTGACGGCACTGCAGCATCACACAGACTTGGTGTATGTCTGTCATGCGAAGATGAGAGCGTCAAATGTTAGCCACTACACCAATTCGGAGAAAGTTGAGGTACAGGTGGGATTGAACCACCAGCGTTTGGACTCGCGGGGAATCGAACCCCGGACCACTCCCAGATTTCCAAGCAAGATGCTAAGGGAGTATTATACCACTAAACCACAAGCCCCGAGAGGAGAGGAAGATGTGTGTGAGCTTCCTGTGTGGGTTGCCGACTCGCTAAAATGAGCCATTGGCGTCTTGCCTTGTCTTGTTTGCCTTGGTGGCGAGTTTTTGTGGCGCCGCTAAGACGGAAGAATGGTAGTGTAGATACTTTGCACGCCCCGAATCGGTAGTTGTTGGCCTCCGACGAGTCCAGTTCGCCTTAATTAGGTACCTCGTAGAACGGAATTTGCGATCTTTCGTCAAAGATGAGAGGAAAAAATCCCAAGTCTACCTACTTACTACGTAACACCAAGGCTAAACAAGAGAGTTGACGAGGTCTGCCTTTTCCCGGATTCACCCGGCGAAGGTCGTCGCTCGCAACCCTGACGGTTCATTATCGGACCTCTCCTCTCCCCTCACATTCCTACCTAGGTTGCAATCGGGCGACGGGTTCTTGATAAGCTCCATCACCTGACTGACGTATGCCGGAGGTTTTCAAATCAAGTGGCTTCCTCCCAGACAAGCAGGCTCTTTTCACAGTTACATTATCATGTTTTAGTTCCCCAGTCACACCGAAGGTAGCGGCAGTGTGTGTGGTGGTGGTGGGGAGGGGTTCGGTGGTAGTCGAGGCCGCGAGATGGTAGTTTGCGAAGCGGGAGACCGTCTCCGCATGAGGGCCAAGGCACATCTTCTTGGCCCTGGCTATTTGCATGTGCGATGTGCAGTAAATTGTAATGCCTACAGGCTACAGCAAGTCGTCCTTGACATCAGCATCTGGGCCTAAACATGCCGATGTGCCGATTAAGTGTTGATTATTTCAGCGCCATGGATTCTTGTTTACATAGCGTCTTGTAAGTCTAAAATAATCACCACGGAAGACCGAGAGGTCATTCTCTAGTACCTCATTGCTGTACTATACCGAATAGGTATAATTACTTCATTGGTGATCTTACACCATCAATACCCTTGTGCTTCGTACGTAGGTTCACTTATCCAAGTTTTAATACTGTCTCCGACGTAAGATACCTACCCGGCTTATAGCCAACGACAGCTACCTATACTTTAGGCCAAGCAGGCATTATACCCTCTCTTGATTATACTACATGCTCGTGCACTCCATCATTGCCGCAGCAGCCGAGCCGTTCATCGGGAATTCACTCAGTCGTGCGCATCACGCCACCGCAATGCGCAAATGGTCAGCATCTCTATCTGCATGGGGAGTTGAGCACCCAACTCATGCAAGGTACAGAGCGGACGCGCTGCAGCAGCGATGCGCAATCCCGACCCCCCCTGGCCTGCCTCATGCATTCCGATCAACCAACTCACTAAGACAAGCAGCGAATGATACGAGAGCTCACGAGCCTCATCAGCGTCGCATACAGTCGCACAATATGTTGCATACAGAAGATACGGCGGTGGAAGAGGGTGTGCGACTATTGTCAGATGCCTACATGACAAGACGGACGAAGGTGACTGGAAGACGAAAGAGGTGTGGGGGGGATGTCTCTTGTCTGACTACAAGCCTACCACCTACAAGGCAAGCAGGTAGTGTAGGTAGGTAGGTAGATAACTTGGCGTGCGCTCGTATCTTCAACCGGTTTTCCCTTCTCGGCCGCACACCATCTTCCTCTGCGCATTATTCCGCTTTGAGAACGATTACCTTCCTCTTCTCCCTCGCGGTGTGTCCCTCAGTTTCCCTCTTGGCCCAAGATATGAGTCTTCGTGCCCTGCCTGCGCCCTATCATTGATTCACGGCAATAAGCCCGTCGGCGTCTGTGGGGTTCTGTTCTTTTCTCTTCTCAGATATCTGCAGTAGGTAGGTAGGTAGCTACTTATGTAATATGTATGTACCCTGCTCGACAGCTGAGTGACCGGGATGACCACCACCCTTCACATCTCTGCCGATGAACCCACAAGGCAGCTCCTCTGACCAGCAGGTGACTAACCGAGTACCAGTCACTTCTCCGGCTCACCTATCTCTTCTGCCTATGATAACTAGATCTCATATGTATATATATAAAGAGCCCTACACTACCGCCAGAGCTTGTCTCATTGTGCTCCTCTTACCGTCACTTCAAGCTCGAGGTTTCGACTTCGTTTCTTTCACTACACCTCTCTCGCTTCTGAGCCGGCTTGGGCCCGGCACTTTTGAGAAGGTCTACATTTCCAAGGAGCCGTGACCTCTCTTTCAAGTCTGTGAACTATTATATAAACCGTCCTACCTAGCTAGAGATGATATTTGGGAGCCCACCACCCCCCCGTATCATCAAGGTCCTCCTCACTTCAACAAAGCTTTCCTATAATCAACCAAACATGCCTCTCTTACCATCGGATGCACTTAATGCCGTGCATCGGCAATCGTGGCCGCCCAGCGGGATGTGGTCCTCAAGCCCCAGCCGGATTCCACCGGCGCTCGACGAGGAGGACAAGGACGGCCTTTCCACGGATGATGAAGACATCGACGGCCTCGCAAGGTCCGAGAATCCTCTAAAATACTTTCTGACACCCGCCACCCCCGGAGATGATGAACTAGAGTTTGAGTTCGACTTCGATGCGGGCATCGAGGACTCGAACAGCCCGCGCCCCACCGTCCGGAGCGTGAGCCCTTCTACACTCGACGGTCTCAGACGGTACAAGCCCAAGAGCAAAGATGCGGATTACAATGTCCCGGAAGATGACGACGACGATGAAGAAGATTACATCCGCTTTACGCCTCAGAGGTCACTTCCGTTTGGTCTCGAAGACTACTTCGACCACCCCCGACACAGTTCCCCCGGCCATACAACATCCCCAGCCACCGATTCCCTACTATCACCATCCTCATTTCACGTCGGGTCGCCCAGGGGTCGCCTCGCCAAGCGCTTCACCCCGCCGCCCCGACACGTCGTCCGAGGGAGGCCCGCCGGCCGCACCCTACAGCGGCGGCACTCCTGGCGCGAGCCGAGCCCGGACGTCTGGTCTATCGACGAGGAGCCCGAGAAGGAGACGCGGAGCGAGATGGGGCTGAGCATCGAGGACCTCGATGGCGACGACGCCCTGGGGGAGGAGAGGAGGAAGACTAAACCTATAGACATACCGGCTGCGAAGCCAAGGAAGAGGGTCCGGTTCTTGTTGCCGGATAATTAAGGAGTTTTGAAACTTACTTGCATCTTCTGGATTTAATCTTGCGAGGGGGATAATTTCTATTGCATGCATGGTATTGGCGTTGCGGATTACTTGGTTGGTTCTACGTTTACTCCTTCGAGCATCATGGTGGCTATCTTTATCACTATTATAAACATCTTGTTCTCATCATCACTTTTCTACATTGCATCGAACTTTTAGCATATACGGGGCGTCTGGATAGGATGGATGGTGGTTTTTTGTCTTTTCCTTGCACAGGGGGCTCCGGGCATTTAGCAATCAAAAAGATATCCGAACCCCTCTAAATTGAATTTTTGAATCTTCCATAACTCCCGCTTTGCCATCAGTGACTGAAGCTATCCGTCGCCGTCATCAGCGTATTCGGTTCCCGACCGCCCTTTTTCTCATGATAACACACCTAGGTACTTCGCACCTATCTGTCAACAGCTGTGCCTCAAAGCTGTCCTCCACATGTAGAAATCATCAATGTCGGTGATCTCCGAAGATGTGGAAGTCCTCTAACCTAGTGTCAGCGCTGAAAGAAGGAAAGGGTGTTTCCGGATTGAGCGAGGGGCATGAAGTGTAAGCTATAGTGTCGAGTAGGCCATTAGTTGAAGGTACGGTAGTGCGTAAGCATTCGAGCCGAATACCATCCGATTCACCCCGACAAGTCCGCACCGCGCAATACCGTATTCTGCGTACCATACCTATTGGCTCAATAGGTATTATATCTATCTGCCTACCTATTGCTGTACTCACCGCCCAATGATCTTACGCAAGCCCACCACCCTCCCACGCAAGCACCCATAGGCGCAGGGCATACCTAGCCATGGCGCATGTGTCTAGACTCCAGTCTGCTCTATCCCAAATCGTCGGGATAACATTAAATGCTAGTGTGTGATTGATTACCTATGTTCCGCGCACATGTCCACCGCTTGATTCTTCGTGGGTAAATGAGTGCACGCGCACGTGTAAGTGATAAGTGGCCGACGTAATTACGCGGACGTGTGCGTGTGGCTTGGCCCTAACACATGTTCTTTCTTGAGAGATGTTAGATACCTCTATTAATCATTCACGGTAGTCTCTAGTTAATTCTCAAGATATAAGCACACGCGTATCATTATTCGCATCTGACGGGGATGATAAGCCGTCAATTAATGTACTTCTCATTCGTCAGCCCTACGCTGTCCTGCACTGCACCTCGCCTCTCGCATATGCAGGCAAGTCTAGCGGCGCCGGTTAGGTATTACGCTACCTACCTGCCTTGCATTAGGTCTGAATGTCATCTCATCATCCTGCAAGACCCTGCGAATTGTGCATCCAGATGTCGGGAAGAAAAAATTTTCTATTCAAATTGATGAGGTCGGCTATCTCTATAGGTATGCTTGTACGATACTGGGCAGTTGAGCATGCCAATGCGACGACTGAGGATATAAGCCAACGCCGCCTCATCCCATATCTTTCCTAGCGGTGAAGCTCTACACCAGCTAAATTTATATCCTGAGCCGTCTGGGTAAGCGATAGGTAGATGTCGACTCCAGTACGTCCAATTACAATAAGTACCTAAGGCAGGTAAGGTATGCTAGAATTCCATGTCTTTCATCGCCTCTAGAACCACGTGTCGGAAAAACACAGAGCTAGCTAGTTATACATGGTCATGTGTTAGAGAGTGTGGTTGTCTAATTGTCAATATAGTAAACCCATTATCTCCGTCTCGAAGCAATGGGAGTCTGTGATGTAAGCAGGCGGAACGACATCTTCCCGGAGAATGCCAGACAAGACTGGGATATAAGTCTGTGATGCTAAAGTGATAAGCAGGCAAGTTGGGCTCGCAGGGTAGTTAAGTATGCACTACTGTGAGACATTCGAATGTGACCCGACTCAAACCGGGTAGTGATTGGT